TCATATACTGACCACCTCTCCGCTTTTTCCAACCAGTCCCAGAGTCGGCAAATAATTCACGACGAAGAATTCTCAGGGACGATATTCGTAGAAAATGTCCAAGCCACCGAAGTCGATGTTTCAAGATGGTGACACCAATTGCATTATCGCCTCTGTGCCGAACCTCTGCATTACTAATATGGTGTTGCCACTGAATGTCAGCAATCCTTCGGAGACAACAATGATCGAACACAGAGAGTCGTCTAACACCCTCAACTCGGAGGGGCAAGTTTTCACAAGCATAGAGCAAAACTGCTCTCACCGTCGCGTTGTAGATCCGACCTTTTACAGCCAGACTAACATCACAAAGGCGCCAACGGTGGCCCAGATTGGCAGAAGCCGCTCTGGTTTTCCCTATAAGTGCATTGATCTCATCACTCACACCACCACCAGCACTTATGCAGCTACCTAGATACACGAACTTCTCGACTACTTCTATCTGCTCACTATCCAGAGTGAGTACAGGATTAGAATCCTGCCAATCTTGTAGAAGTACTTTGCACTTCGAGGGTGCAAAGCACATACCATACCTACAGACATTGATTGCCAACTGATTAAGTGCGAATTGTATGGCTTGGGCATTCTCTCGCAGTAAGACAATATCATCCGCATACTCAAGCGAATGTCCCGCGCTTTAACCGGATCCCAAACCAATGGTGCACATGGGCTCCAGTATCTTGTGGGAACAAATGGCGTATGAACCAATCGTTGGTCACCGGCTACCATGGGACTGCATCTCCTTACGATGCTCCACTGCCTTGTGGGTCAGACATTCAGGTCGAAGGCTCTGGGTGTGGCCCCCTAGGAATACCACCTGCTTCGGTTTGGGCACCCGGGCAGTATCACAGCCCTCACACATATCAAATGAGATTTGTGTGACGCATATGTATTTGGTACCTCCTTGTACCAATATATATGTGTTAAAATAAATAATAATAATTATACTCAAGGTCAATAAGTCTTTCTCCAAGCAACAGATCCACACCACCATTACTTACATCCATCAGAACTGTTTCCAGAATGTCATCGATGGCAAAGATGAAGAGAAATGGTGAGATTGGGCAACCCTGTCTAACCCCACTGCTTGAATGGAACAATGGAGAAAGGTGGTTGTATGCCCTCACTCTGCCTGAGGTGTTTGTGTATAGGGCTTTTAGGATGTTAATAAACTTCTCAGGCACACCCTTCTTCAATAGACAATCCCAGAGAACAGTCCTATCCAACGAATCGAACCCAACCCTGATGTCAAGAAACACTACGATTGTTGGCCTTTGATTAGTATGGCGGTGTTCTAACACTTGGCGGAGGGTGAAGATATGATCAATACATCCTCGACCAGAACGAAACCCAGCCTGCTCCTCGCAAGTCAATCCTTCTCGGGTTTTGAACAACCTACGAAGTATAACGGAAGCCAGTATCTTGGACGCAATCGGAAGTAGACTTGTCCCCCGATAGTTGTTACAAGGACGACGTGAACCCTTTTTAAAGATCGGGACAACTATCGACTCATTCCATGACGTTGGTACACTCTCTAGTTCCCAGATCTTTGTAAACAACGTCGTCAGTCCCTTAGTCAGAAAGTCACCACCATCTATAAAAAGAGCCGGAGGTAAGTCGTCTGGGCCCGGTGATTTGTAGCGTTTTAGGAGTTGGAGTTCCTTGCGGACTTCCGCCTCATTTGGTGGATCAGTCATCACCGTCCATGGAGGGCAGAACAGTCTGATCGATGTTGCCGGAGCAACAGTCCAGTTGAACTGCCCTTCGAAAAATTCTGCCCATCTTCCAAGACGTCGATGAATGTTAGTGATTGGCGTTCCGTCATCCTCGCAGATTGTTTCGCTCACACCAGACTTGCTGCCAGTGGCTCTGATGAGTTGGAAGAGCTTCCGGTAATTACAAGATGCAGCAGCTGCTTCCGGCTCGTTAGCACACTCCGACCACCAGGCTTCTCGGTCCTTACGCAAACTTTGCCCAATTTCAGTACGTAACATCCTTTGTTTGTGGTCAAACTCACGATCACTCGGAGTAGACCGACGGGCTTCAATCAGTTGTAAGGAACCAGAAGAAACCCAGTGCTTATAAGCGGGACGTTTCGCGAACCCACAACAGACTTTACCCGTCATTTTCATGGCGTCATGTAATTTCAACCAATGCTCATCTATACTTTTCGGTGGAATGGTAGCTAGCCTAGAAGCTAGCTTGGTTCGGTACTTACTAGCAACAGAAGTTGCAGCCAGCTTGCTAACATCAATCCTTTGGTGACGGTCACTTCGTTGTCCACTGAAAAGTAAGGTAAGATTGGCGCAGACCAGAGCATGATCAGATTCCAGATAGGTACTCCAAAAGGAGCGGCAGTCTTGTACACAACCACGCCAGCGGTAGCTGATCGCGATGTGATCAATCTGAGTCCAGGCTAGAGATGCAGAAGGGGGACGCCAGGTGGCACATTGGCGATGACTGTGCCGAAAGTTAGTGCTAGCCAGAAACAGGTTGTGGTCTGTGCATAGTTGTAGTAGACGTTCCCCGTTATCTGTCCTGCGACTGAGTCCCCATTGGCCACCTAAACGACTCTCTTCTGTGCCTAGACGCCCGACCTGAGCATTCAAGTCTCCGGCTAGTACTACAATATCTGTCGAACGCACTTTCTGGAGAAGAACAGTTAACTGGTGGTAGAACTCATCCTTGATTGCATCCGGGCTGCAATCTGTCGGGGCATAGGCGGAGATGACGAAAAGACATCGTTTCTCACGCCGATTTCTTCTCACTTTGATGGAACTTTCTAATCTAACAGCACATAACCGACTGTTAATGGGGATCCGATCGGTTAGTGCTGCCTCAGCTCTAGCGCTTAGTGCGACACCGACGCCTGCAAGACCAGACGAAGATGCCACAGGGTCTCCGGATAAACGCACGTAAAACAAGCTTTTTGAAGCGACAGATGGAGAGCGAACTTGTAGTACTTCACCAGAGTCTTGAATACGGGTCTCGGATAGACAACACACGTCAATTTTAAGACTTTCCAAAGACATAGCCACCCCTATCTGTTGTCCGACCTGCATGAGTGTACGAATGTTGAAGGCAGCCAGTTTGAATGGTGTACGTGGTTTCAGAAAAACTGCTTCAGTACTCGTATTCGGTGGTAACATACAATTTTCAACCAGGCAGTGACTCGAGAACGTTTAGATAGAGCCGAATGTCCACCATAGTCGAGCTGCTGTATAAGTCGAAAAATAAGGATAGACAGAGTGGGAATGAAAGAGAGTGAATAAATGACGTAGTAAATAATAATAATAATGTGAATTGTTTGACAGTAAATCGCAGCGAGAACAGAGTTTTCAGTGAATATCATCATTTTCATTATCATTATATTTGTGTGTAGGCTGAGATACTGCCCGGGTGCCCAGACCGAAGCAGGTGCTTTTCTTAGGGGGGCACACCCCGAGCCTTCGACCCAAGGGTCTAGTCCACAAGGCAGTGGAGCATCGTGAGGAGATGCGGTCCCATGGAAGCCGGTGACCAAAAGTTGGTTCATACGCCATTTGTTCCTCAGGATACTGGAGCCCATGTGCACCATTGATTTGGGATCCGGTTAAAGAGCCGGACATTCGCTTTTCGTCCTCTCATTTTAGTCAACAACAGCTACGCCACGAGAAGGCAGTGAGTAGGACTTCCCTGGCAGAGGCTGTATACGCGTGGCTGTGTGAGAGTATTTCGAGAGGGAGGGCGAACCCACCTCACTTCTAAAGGTTAAGGTTTTTTTCAAAGATCGAAAATAAGATCTTTGCATTTGAAACGTGGTCGATAGTTCCAAATATCCAAAGTGTCATAGTTTGCTTTACTTGTTAATTATACTAATGAAAATTACCTTATCAGATGTCAATAGGCCCACATTTATCTCGTGCATTGAAGTAATATACCTTTTCTTTGTAAATCCAATGTGTTGTCAGACAGTGAACATTATAGTATCGAACAATTATATTCTGTAGATCTTTCTTTTGACCAGTCAAACTAATAGAGAATGGTTATTTATTGAAAATTAAGAAGTGCTTAGCACATTATGAATACCAATTACAGCTTTTAAAGCAGCCAATTATATATGAATGATTAATAATAGACGCCAGTTTTTCCTGTTTATATTCCTTTCTAATTCAGTTTGGTGAATTTAAACGGCAGGAAAGTATGTCACTTGATTTAAACAAAACGTAGGTTCTCTGGTTCGAACAATAACTTAACATCAATCTCCTGGAAGCTGATTATAGTGTAGAGTGAATTAAGCAAAATTAATTGTCCCTTACCACATATCGGCAACTATGAGAGCTGTCAGTTATAAGCAATGTAGGACTTGGTACGAATGTACAATGGCCCAAGGTGTTGCACCATATCATCAAAGCTTGATGACATTGTCAAAAGAAATACCACTGTGGTAGTGAAGAGTAGGCATGAAAGATACTTAACCATAAAGTATTATGAAGGACCCAATGTTAAGTCGAATTAACGAGTGACTAATACAGCACCAAAACTGTTTCGACTCCCAGACAATACCAAACACTAAGAAGTTGAAATGCTTGCTTGTTCACTCAGCAAAACTCCAACTAAACATACCAAAATGCTTTGTTTTCAAAAGTTGTTCTCGCGTTACTGATAATACGATATTGAGAACTACCCTGTTGTCCGTCCGACATATGTGCATATTATCTAAAGCAAGCAACGTTGGTTTCCTAAAAATGCGTAAAAGCCATGTCTATTTTAATGTGAAAAATGTTTCTTTTCATATCTTGTCTCAAAAGTATAGTAAGGTACCTAACCACGTTTGTCTATTATTGCAGTTTTTTAAGGCCGCAGTTAAGTATACTAACATAACATTTGTTCTTACATTTCGCCTGTATAAATCTTAAATTACAAAATCAGTTAATTTTTTTAAATCTGTTCAAATATCCATCACACTTCTTGATTCACTTCAGATGCTCCCTGAAATTCAATTCAGAATTCAAAGGTATTTATTATTCTGAAGGAAATTACTTACAGGTGAAGTTACCAGCTCACTGTGTTCTTTACAATCTTGCCCAAAAGTATTCAATGAAGTTCAAGGTATAGAGGTAAGTAATCAATAATTATCAGCGAAAGTGTTATTAGGTATTATTACCAAGGTTTTACTTAATAATTTCGAATAAATGGAGCATTGGGTAGATTGTTATAAATGATTTAATATATTTGTAATATCCCAATGAATAGAAAATCTAATTTTTCTACTCAGCTGGTGACTTGACCGGACACTAGCCGCCATTACTTCAACATGCCCCTTAGTTACCTGGACGCATTATCACCAAACTATTTTGAAGTCATTGTACATTCATGGCACAACAGATATGGTGCTTGCGTGACCAACTATCTGAATTCATTTGTTTGAGTAACGATTATTCTGAAATCGAACTAATGATTGACACCGTTAGCGAACGGATATCGGAGAGCAGAATTCGCCAGCAAAGTGTATACATATTTTTTCAAAAACCAATCAATCTTAAATGACTTACTGTTTTTGTCTTCTATTTAACCATCCCTAACCAGTTGGATACCTGTAGTGCTCAAAATAATGGGGATGCGTGACTCTCGTAGCGTATTATGTAACATGATAGATTATGTTTATCATTATCTAGTACACACCATTTAATACTGCTTTAAGAGCATACTTCTATCGAACGGATGAAAGGTACTTAGTAATGTGGTTCGAAATAACCCTGAATCATTGCTTCCGAGGTAACCTTACAGGTCTCGTTTGACATCATGATGTACTTAGTTTTGAATGTCACTAATTGAACAGTTTCATGTTTATTTTTTTAAAGGTCGCCCACTGTTTCCTATTGGGTGAACGATATTCAAAGTGCTTTAATGCCACTTATCGATCCCCTTCAGGTTCGAAGTAAGTTACAGTAAAATTACATGTGAACAACTACATTGTCTTCATTATTCTTGTAGTGTTTGCAAATTTTACGTATGATGTTTATCTTATAAAATATGACCCACATTACTTCATATATTTTATATCCTAGACTTATGTTCATGGGGTGCTATGGTCTTGGAATATCACGTTTACTCGCCGTCTGCATCGAACACTTGACAAGAGTTGCATTTCCTGACAAATCTAAAGATCAGATCACACAGCTTCGATGGCCTGTTCGAATCGCACCATACAGCGGATCAATAGTTCTACAGAAGGTAATTGGTTTATACTTTGAGTAACATGGGAACTTTTAAATATGGATTCTAACGACTGAAAAGTTCAGTTCTCGTAGTGTTATTGTATTACTACTGCTACCACTACTACATATCTTTGTAATAAGCTAGTCACAAAGTATGTCTTCTGTACACACCTATTAAAGTGATGTCAACACCTGATTACGCAGTAAGTGCATATGACTGAGATCACGGTATGAATGCTAGCTTTTTTCCCGAACTATCACACGAGTTAGATCGTTATAAATAAGTACTTCACTAAACTTCATCCACAAGTGGCTGTAGGAATGTCATGTTTATAAAACACCAACAAACTACATTTCAGACACAATTATGACGTTTTTCTATTTATCTGAAGGAAACGGCCAAGGATAGTGTGAATCCAGATGAGCTGAAATACATTCTCGATACCATTCAAAGTGATTCCATCAACTTCAAGTTATCTGGTGACATTTTGGTGGATGATCGCAAAGAATTAAGCTTGGGTAGAAAAATTCTGGATCAAAGCCGCTTGGGAATACCCTGGATACTTATTGTAAAGGTACGTATAAATTCCTAAATTTGATTTAAACACCTACCATATCACTAACGCTGTACACAAAACGAAGTAGAGGGTATGTGTGATAACTATAGGGCTTGAATTTTATTATCTAACCTGGCTGGTTTTGTCAAGAATCCTTCATTGTCCCTACGTACATCATCACCAGCAGAAACTTTGGATCTGTTATAACTTGTAATCGAATGCTACTTTTTGTATTTGGTCGCCGTCATCATAATGTTTTTGGGCTAATAATTCTCCAATTATACCAATCTTGTGTTCTTACTTTCGCGTTATGGGAATTGTGGAGGTCCCTTCGCTCTGAGCCTCTTACAGCTTCCTCGAGTTCACCCGTGGTCCGTCGTCACAGGATCAGAGTAAGGTATCCGAATCTCTCCACATATGACTGCTTGTTCTGGCAATCTTGGTTGTTGAGACTTATCACGCCCAGAACGACAATAAAAGCTTTTCGATTAAATCACTCAAATTAGAGAACAAAACTCCATTTGAGCTACAGATCTCCAAGATTAGTAAACTTCCGAATTGAACCAGGTTAATATTAAAATTCATACAAAAAACTAAAATACTTTAAACCTGGATGAATAGTGAACATGCAGTTAATAAAAGGGCATTAGTGTAACCTACTACTACTACAGCAAAGAAGGTAACAAATTCGCACATCATTGAGTGGTAAGAATCTCATTTTAGAGAAGTTAAAGTGAAAATCCAATTTCCGGCGTTGCAATTACAGAACTATACTGTAACCTATTTTCTATATGTGATAAGACTGATATAAAATATAAGTGTAAATTGCAAAACTTCTGCTACTAAACTATTTCCTAAGCCTTAAAGTCTAGGGGTTATTTTCCTATGAGACCATTTATGTGCTCATCATCCGAAAAAGAGCGTTCTTCAAGTCATTTAAACAACAGAATGAATTTAATTTCAAACTCTATTTTCTCAAAATTTCTAATTGAAATACCATAGTTCTTTAAAATGACCTCAAATCATCTTACTTCTGGCTGCCTTTAATCATATTTCTTAATTATTTGTGGATAGCCTGCCGGTTGTGGTTAACCCATATATACTTTATTCCATGCACATAGCACAAAAAGAACCGGACGACAGCTATGTCCTGCATAACTTGTGCATGCTACATATGAGGGATTTAACTTGCTTTGAACCAGATATATCTGCAGCTCTCCAGCTCCTTTAAAGTCAGTTAGATATGACCTTGCTTGTACTGTAGTGAGCGAGAACACAGGTGCGGAGGGGACAACCGAATCTATTTTAGTACAAAATTACGGAGTACCTTGTTGAAATATAAGAACCATTGAATCCTTCATTCCACACTCTGTATGACTTATTTAAGTCACAATCTCTTTCTCTTTACCTTCTATTCTCTTCAACTCCATCTTTTTAGCCTTCTGCTAGGTTTCCCCCTTCCCATTGGTGTTACATACAAACGTATACTACAAAAGGAACTCTAGGTGAATAACTCGATTACTAGGCGCATCATGACGTACAGTAGTAACCGATCAATCGTACTAATGAATCTGCTTTTAAGCAAAGCTGCATACATACTGAGTGGAGTCAGTTATAAGTTATTCAATTATTAATTTTTACTTTAAAAATTTTTAGAGTCAGAGAGATGGCAGATATGAATTGATTGATGTTTATAAAGACAGATCATGTGTAGCTACTCTAGAACAAGCCAGATCTGCATTCAGTAACCCTGCAGTATTTGATGCATCATCTCTCCCTTCTTGGGATCACCGACACAATGAGCGCAATATAAATGGAAACAAACTCATTTAACTTGGTTAGCGCATACAAAACAAGTTATTTAAATTTAAAAACTGTAATATAATTTAAAACTAAAGAAATATGTACAATAAAAACTTGTTTGATAATCCATTATTTGTTTTTTGACCATACTCTATGCCACGTTGACTTGTTAGCGGAATTATCCTCTTTTAATTCCTTATTTTTCTGAACGTTATTACTTGGCGGATAAGGCTCTAAGAATCGACCAACTTTAATCTTTAGATCTTGCGAAACTCCATGCTTCGAACGTTTGTGAAGTTTTTTGGAAACCCACTTACCATACTTAAACCTCGGTTTGTCATTATTCATAGGAAATGAACAATTTGATGTGGACGACAATGTGTTTTTGGTAGAAAGATCATTATTGCACGAAATTTTAAGTGGCACTGTGGCAATCTCATAAGCACTGCAACTTCGAGAAAGATTGACCATGTTCAACATATATGCAGGAGTTTCAGGTACATATGGTAAAGTTAGTGAGACCGACTAGAAATAAATTATATGAAATTTAAGAATATTATTTAGAAGTATGCAAGACGCGTTAGACAAGACTATTAACAACGCCCTTGATACTTAACAAATTTTGGTAGGATATTATGATCATATTAACTGATAAGTGGCAGACATTCAAATATATCCAACTTTCCGGTTACATCCTAGTTTTTATAATAAAGTGATCAAGCTTCATGACGTCTTTTATAAGAAGTTAAACGGATTATAAAGTTACCGGTTGTCAAATATAAGTCGGACGAACAAAATAAACATGTCGGAGGTAAATCCATCAAAGACAAAAATGTCAAAAAGTTGGTTGCTAAAAGAAATTGATGTTACCGCGGCGTAAAAATTGGGTGTTCATGGTTTTCACCAACAGTTCCCAGAAAACATTTTATTTATTATCTATTTATTTTAACACATAAGTATAGGTACATTTTACTTCCAATGGCCAAATTACCATAACTTTCTTTTCGTTGTACACCTATGGAATATTTGTACACATCACTCATTGGTTACCACTGTTAGTTCATCTAGTGTATACTCAAGTTTACCTCAAAATCTAGTTTGATTCTCCGAATAGATGATATAACTACTTCAATGTGCTACTAATGAGCATAAAATTCCCAAAAGTTTAAACGTCACATAGTTTGGTTGCAGTTTATGGGTTGCACAACGATAAACCTGAATAAATTAAATTTAAAGTGCTAAGACATAGGCTTCAAGGTGTTTTGTACGTTACACGGATCTACGTACAATGGGAATACAATATATTAACAAACGGGTTTGATGATCTTATCTAATAGACATGCTTAACCATTGTATGCAATAGAACATAACATATGCTAATATGTAAACATCCTACTTCGGTTTAGGCACCTGGGCAGTATCTCAGCCTTCACATAAATCGAATGATTTATGTGGTGCCTTCTTGTACCAATGTTTATGTGTTTAAATAAATAAAACATCCTAATGGGTAGCACAATAATTTATTCGTAAATAGATAAATCTTTTAAAATTGACAATGAATAAGTAGGCTAAACATACTTCTGAATTAGGTTGCTTTTCATGTTCAGTTGATATGCTTGTAGCAGGCGTATTCAGCTCCATTTCAACTGAAATAAAAGTAGTCATGATGATAAAGACTAAGATGCTCCTATACGATTAGCAAGTACATTATTTGCCTTGTTTTGTAGGTTCAAGCAAATCTTTATTCTTAGATAGTAGCTGAATAAAAATAATACCACTACCAACAACAGATACGCGTTTCTTGATAAAAGCAAAATTTACGAGACGATTTCCGTCAATATTCAGACGTCACAGCTTCAATTTTCGAGAAACGTCTCTTGTTTAGTTTGACCATCGTACTCATACCTTGTCACTTGTTTTTGACAGCAATACCAAACCTTTCTATGGTATACATACTATAATCACGATAAGAATAAGCTTAGTTGAAACAATAGGAGGGATTAAGTTAAATCGCTAAAAAATACACTGTATATCATAAAACGTTTGTGCAAAAGGGTTGCTAAATTTAGATAAGTATTCTTAACAGATAATCAAAATGAACAACACGTTATGTGGAAAGGAATAGCTTATATCATATTTACTTGAAACTCACAGTTTCTGTGAAGATATCATTCTAAGTTCATTAAAGTCAACCATTATTTTGCTTTCATTTACTTTTACCGCAAGTATCTCTCTGGGGGCTTACAACCTGCAATTCAAGTGAGGATGTTTTTGACTCAAAAATTTGAAATCTTTCCCTGGATTGGTACAGACTGATTTTTGAACGAACAACAGGAAGTGAAGCCAACCCAGTAGCTGGTGAAAACCTTCGAGTTATCCAGAACGTTTCCCGCTTGTTGTGTGTCATCCAGTTTTGTCCATATTTTCGAATAGTTTTAAAATATACGAGAACGGAGGCTGATGTGTAATGGAACATTGTTATAAAAATACTTACACAGCTGTGGTTGAGAAAAACGTTTCAGAAAACACTCTGAAGGATCGATTTTAAGTATCAAATATATCTCATAAAATAAAAAGAGTTCTAGGTTTTAAACACGATTGTCCACAAACTACATTCTTATTTGCTGTTTTATCATACAGTAAAGCGCTGGAGTATACATTTAGTTTAGAAACTTACCTATCTGGTTCTCGTTTTCTGTCTTCGATGGAGCTGAGTAAAGTTTGTGTGTCATTTGATAAGTGATCGACTTTAGTTCTTTTGCTTCATCTCCATCAGGTGAAATAATCAAACGACCAAAGCGACAACTATGAAATGGTATAGACGTACCAGACAATGCTTTGTGATTTTCTTTTTGTAATCCACCAGGACTAACTGGAGCAGTAATGGATGAATAAGGAGGCCATTCTAAAATTAATAACAAAGAATTACTTATAGTTCAAAAACATGAATTCAAAAAAGACCATAATTTTACATCAATAAAGGTGCTCAAGTGCACATATCTGGCATCGCAACTTGTAATTTACTAATCTAAGAAGAAAACTGTACGTCAAAGATTGGTCTGCTTTAAATAATTTCGTTTGTAAACCCAGTTTAATGTTTTCTATATATGATTCATTTCATCCGACAAACCATTGGTCAATTAAGAATTGATGTTAATTAGCGAATTTTTAATCTCCCTTATTTATTATGATCATTTGATCCAAAAAGCCTAACAAATTATTTCAGTTTCTGGAGGTTTGTGTTTTCTCTCCGTTTGGTGTTAAAGACTACAATTGATCATACTTGAATACCAGTCACTACCCAACTTTATTAAATACTTGTGGCTAAATAGCAATATCCAGGCAACCCTCTCAGGATGCCCATATGCCAACAGAGACTGATCAACGGCAGTCTCCTTAACAGTATATACAGCCCCATACAAGTAAACCTCATACCCGTTGCACAAGCTAGTGACCCTCTGAACTCAGCAGTTCAATGGATAAAGCGTTGGAATTTGAAGAGAAAGGTACCAGGGCTGGAATAATGGTATGAACATCACTGAGATTCAAGGACATTCAGCAGACAAGTCCATTGATAACAATTAACCGACTTTGATAAAAGATTATTGCACGTCTACAATTTTAATTACATGATAATGAATAGAAAAATACTACAAGCATACATGATGTCGAGAAATGAAGTGTTTTGAGTAATATCTGGATAAAATAATAACTTATCGATAAATTTATACGACTTAACCGCATGACGAAGTACACAATACTGTTTAAACACAGAAATAATACATATTATTGTAGAAAATAAAATACGACCTGACTGACCTTTCATATTACCAGATAAATGATTTAAACATATATGATGTGAACGTGGATCACACTTTTGAACAGCAATGTCTGAATAAGATTTTCCAGCTGGCTTGCTTGCTGTGTCGATGTGATCAATTTTGCTGAGATTATTTTGAATTTCTACACTGGGAAGTTTTTTTTTACAAGAAAAATCTCCTGATGCTGATTCCGAATGAACTAGCTTGATTCCAGTACTTACATTATTATATATTGTAGATGATATATCAGAGGTGAGACCTAATGTTGACTGGGCTGTATGAATAGTCAACATAAATAACAAATCGATATGTATGAGCTTAATTCTAACAATAAATTAATATATATTATAAGAATTTATTTGAAACATAATTAGACATAACACTATGATGAATAGTATTTGTAAAAGTTGTAGAAGGCTTTTTCGATTGGAATGTAGTAAATTCACTATTGATAACATGTTTGCAATCAAATAACCTGTACAAACTTCCTTACATATTCAAGGTAGATAGATTATCAATATACTTTTCGTTAAAGTGTTAGTAATATGAAAGTTCAGTGTTAAAACATGTGTCAAACACCGACATTCATGAAATTCATATCTAAATTATTTTAAAGACTAAGAATAGTTGAGGGAACAATCATTTTCAATAAACTCATCATCAGGCTTTACAGTTCATAACTGTCCACTAGATTGTTAGTGTCATTTCCGATAACTCCGTCTGTAGTGTTTTTAGGCTTACTACCGATCCCAAAACTGAGTAAAAGGAGGGTTGGGTATGTAGTCAACAACTCCATCCCGTACATAACAACCTTGCTAAAAACTCGCTAACCAGAATAAAAAATTTAAACCTTCTAAACGCCGTTCTCCTAAATGAAGGAAGAATTATGACGCCTCATGGTGAAAGCCGAGATTCTTTGGAAGTCACGAGGTCAGTGCCCCTTCCAACAACCAGAGTAACAATTCACAAAGGTACATGGAATGTCCGGACAACGTGGGAGACCGGGAAGACCAATCAAATAGCTACGCAAGTAAAAAGACACTACTTAGCGGTGCTCAGAATCAGTGAAACCCATTAGACTCAAGTTCGAGGAAAAATATTAGATTCGGAAGATATGCTGCTGTCCTCTGTTCATGAAGAAAATGTTTGGTACACACAAAATTTGCAATAATAGTAATGATGATAAAGACCAGTTTTACGAGAGGCTCAAACCGATCATAGTGAGTTGCTCAGGAAAGAACCTGATCATTCTGATGGGAGATCTAAACGCCAAAGTCGGAATGCACAACACCAGGTATGAATATATCA